AAGAAAGCAGAGGAATGCACAAGAGAAGGTGCGTCTGACGAAAAAAAGAGCGAGCAAGCAAGCAAGCAAGAGCAAGAGCAAGCAAGCGAGAGCAAGCAAGCGAGAGCAAGAGCAAGCAAGCAAGCAGGCAGGCAAGCAAGCAAGCAGAGCAAGTTTTTTGCTAAAAATCTAGGCTCCCTATGGTTCCCTAACAGGCTGGAGGGCATCGCTAGTAGGTTGGAGGGCATCGCTAGTAGGTTGGAGGCCATCACTAGTAGATTGGAGGCCATCACTATGAGGTTGGAGGCCATTCCATTAGGTTGGAGGCCATCGCTTTAAGCTTCCCTTAAAAATCTAGGAACCACATGAGCTGTGTGAGTGCTTTCCTGCGTCTATACGTAGTACGTAGCTTCTGAAGCTTAGTAGCTACCATTCTTTCTTACAAGATCATATAAGCTGCCAGGGCCTAGCCCCCCAGAATGGTGTTGCACGTCTAGGCAGCCAGTGCTGTACTCGCACCTTGGGAAGGCGATTTCGGTCCCAGCTTGAGTCCTGCGAAGAGCGGCAAAGTTGTCTTCGACATGGAAACATTTGAAAGCTCTTGTTCCTAGTAGCGATGCCCCTTTGCTCCTAGTAGCTTCTTGCTCCTAGTAGCTATGCCAGGAGCCCCAAGTAGCTTCTTGTTCCTAGTAGCGATGCCAGCTCTTGCCAGCTCCATATTCTCGGACTTCCTAGCTCTTGTCACTTGTCAAGTCAGAAATCTATCTTTTGCAGCAATCTCCTATGAACCGCTGACAAGGCATCGACAAGCAGTTGCGTGCTCCCTTTTTGCGGTGGCAAGCGTCCATTTCACGGTAGCAATCTTGCTCACAGAAATTCTCATGAGATTGATCGAGGCTGTACATGTAATCAAGGTATAGCCATGGCCCATCTTTACATCAAAGACCTGACCCTGCATAAATTAAATTTGGCCTATCAAACGAAAGACTTGAACTTTCCCAAGTTCTTTTGAACCCCTTGCATGCTTAAGCCATTTAAGCCATCTCAACCCCCAAGCTATCTTAGGCCCCAGCAGCTGCTACAGAGCGAGCCGGACCTTGTGCCGCCTTCACAACTACATCAACTGCCATTGGAACCCCTGCGGCGCTGCGAAGGCTGTTTGCTTGAACTTCAGCTGCTGCACGAAAACTAGCCTCTGACAAGACTCTATGCAAAGCTCCGCTGAGCGCTTCACGATACCTGGTGGCATTGTATGCTGGGATGAGAAAGAGGGGGACAGGCCCGGGGACGGGTGAACCATGTGAAATTAATCTGGAACAAGATGGTCTGTACCTTCAGATCCTTTATGATCTCCCTTGGACAAAGGAACAGTTTCGAGCCACAGCTGATCACCCATGACCGACCCTGGTAGGCCCCACCTGATAGCTGCCTCTGGGGCCTCTTCCTTGCTCACGATCACTGGCCGGTCCACTTTGAGGCCAACACCCAACGCCATGGCCTTTGCAGCATTCACCACCTGGTCTCCGAAACCAGGGCAAACGACCATTGGAATGGCAAAGGAGATGGCTTCCATGAAGCTATTCTGGCCTCCATGCGTTACAAAAACGTCCACCCCAGCTTTCAACAGCTCAACTTGAGCAAATGATGTCACGCAAAGGGCATTGCTTGGCACTTCGATGTCTTGCAGGGGTTCAGGCTGCAAGCCCAGCGCGGTGACAATCAAAATATCTTTGCCCATACATGCATCAAAAGTACCAGCCCAAACAGCTCGACAAAGCTCTCGGCCAGTGATGCTTTGGCCATTGAAGTCTGCATCCCAACCTGCTACTTTGTCTCCACCCGTAACCACTGTCCCCATGCTGACAGCAACAATACGGGTGCCTGCTGCCCGTGCTTCAAGCACACGCTGGATGACTGGGTCAACAGTTTGAGGCACAGAAGGCAAAAGTAGAGGACCGACAAAAGTAAAGGTGGTGCCATCTTCCTCATATGCCTCCATGATCGCTTCTGTCACTGGGTCCTGCAATTGTTCCGTGGTGGTGACCAGGATGTTGTTTCGTAAGCAAGTGTCTAAGTAGCCATCTGGGAGAAGGTGCGTTGATTTCAAGGTCAGGCCATAGCGTTCGTTGATGCGTCTGGTGGCTTCCATGTGTGGAGCAAACTCAGGGAGCAAACCTCCAGCTTCTTGCAGAGTTAAGGGCTCTAGCAGTGCAGGTGCATGTCGCCGCATGGCCCCGGGTCCTGCCAAAGTCAACAACTAGGAACAAGAAGCTACTAGGAACAAGTGCCTCGCTTCTAGTAACAATTGCCTTGCTAGTAGTAACAAGAAGCTATTAGGTGCGTGTCGCCGCATGGCCCCGGGTCCTGCCAAAGTCAACAATAGCAGTAAGGCACTTGTTTCTAATAGCTTCTTGTTTCTACTAGTAAGGCACTTGTTACTAGTAGCGATGCACCTGTTACTAGTAGCTTCCATGTCGCCGCATGGCCGGTCCTGCCAAAGTCAACAAGCCAATCGCAGGAATTCCCAGGACTTTGGCTGCGATAGGCGCTGCTCGGCTGGCAATGATAGGGTCGTAGACAAGGACGTCCGGTTTCAAGCGGCGCAAGAATCGCAACGTGCCAGGAAGCTCCAACTCCAAGCTCACATTGAGACACCTCAGCGAACAGGTCTTGGAGACACCATCCTGGACGTCACTATACCCCTTCACCGCCAACTCAGAAGGATTTTCAGTAACAAGAGAAGGAGCTTTCTTGACTGTTCTTTTCTTTGTGTTTTTCCTGGAATCTTGGACGGAACTACCCCTTACTACAATCTAGAATGCGTTTCTCTCATTATGTTTCTACTTTTCTCTTCAGACCTTTCTTCCTGTCTTTTTCATTAGACTTTGTGAAGGTAGAAATTCCTACTGCGTTCCTTCTCTTTTCTGACACCCCAACGTATGGAAATCAAAGAGCCTGGCATAAAGTTGCTAGGAAAGGAGTCGGGGCACTTCAAGAAGTTCAAGAATGTCATCTCCAAGCCGTGCTCTTCCATGATGCTAAACACAGCCAGTTTGGGAATCTCTCTTCCTTCCAAACCCCGTGAAGAATAGAGCTCAGATTGAATGTCCATGGTGTTGTGAAAAATACCGCCGACCTCCTCAATCTTCTTGCGTGCCATCTCCAAGCATAGAAAGTGCACTTCATGACCCGATTCCACCAGCGCCTTCACAACAGGAAGCGTTGGGTTGAGGTGTCCGACATGTTCAGAACAATTGAAGAGGCAGCGCACCATCACGATACAAACACGCAAAGGAATGTTTGAGGCTCAAAATTTGCTTTGAGAATCAGACGGATGGCATGAAGATTTGGCCATTGAGCACAAGCCTCATTTAGGAAGCACTGCAAACAAAGCTTGAGGCCTTGCAGGAACCGCCCGTCGGCGTGAGCCGGAACGTAATCCTGCCAGAAGTTGAAAATGTTTCAAGAGTCTGGACGTCGATCAAAAGGTACCAGGAGCAAGGGCATCGCTACTAGGGGCTCCTGGCATCGCTACTAGGAACAAGAAGCTACAAGAACAATGTTGTGATACCACCCGATGGCTATGGTCTCAGCGACTTCAATCATCTTTCATGCACTGGAAGTCTCCTCAAGTGCCAATTTATACCACTTGATAGTTGTTGTGTTTTCAAGACTAAGGCTTAACATTTTTGCGAGGTTTCTCCTGTGGAGTGACTCTTGTGCGTCTATGCAGCAAACTAAGCATCCCTTATATCATAGAATCGGCATGCCAGACTCAGCATGTGTGGTCCCATATGTTCTTCACGCTATCTTCATGTTTCTCTTGGACCTCGCCGTTGACCGACAGACCCCGACTGACGTCGGACAGCATCGGTCCCTCAAGCGTCACGGAGGTGCGGAAGCTGCTAGCCTCGGAGATTCTTCCTTTTCTTCAAATTTTCTCCTTTCCTTCCTGTGTTTCTACTAAGCTACTAGGGGCTCCTGGCCTTACTACTAGGAACAAGAAGCTACTAGGGGCTCCTGGCCTTACTACTAGGAACAAGAAGCTACTAGGAGCAAGGGCATCGCTACTAGGGGCTCCTGGCATCGCTGCTAGGAGCAAGGACGCTACTAGGGGCTCATGGCCTCCACAAGGCTTCTCAAGGCGCTTTGCGAAAATCGGTATCAATTTGTGAATGTGTTGGCTGTGTTAACTTTCGTAGGGTCACACCGGTAGTGTCTACCTCACTCTGCCCGGGGTTAGAGGGACTTCAGGAATGCAAAGCAGTCAAATGCATTATGTGTGTCCTATGCACGGGGCGAGCCTGACTGACTTGCATAAAGGTTTCAGCCTCTACCGGACTCACTTAAGCATGCGGCCAACTGGGGCTGCTGAGGCCGGGCACTGGGAGCATCCTGCAAACACGTCCAGCCACAAAAACCTCAGCCTCTTCACGAAACTGTTGCCTTCATCTCGGAATCTTCCAAACTGGCAGCTTCAACTTCAGCATCTGGCCGACTCAAGCACTCTTCTCAGGTTTCTTTCACATCTTTCTGTGAAAAGACAGAAAAGGTCCAAAGGTCTAAAAGAAGCTACGAACGGGGCTCCAAGGACGCTACGAACGGGGCTGGCATCGCTACTAGGAGCAAGAAGCTACTAGGAGCAAGGGCATCGCTACTAGGAGCAAGGACGCTACTGGGGGCTCCTGGCCTTACTACTAGGAGCAAGGAAGCTACTAGTAACAAAGGGCATCAATACTAGGAAGCTACAGAAAGAAAAACATCAAGCCTGGCGGCACTGGCGCTGCTGGCATGATTAGGGACAGCGGTGCTGGCGGTGCAGGCGATACTGGCGGTGCTGGTGGTGATTGCGCTGGTGCTGCTGGCAGCGGTGCACTGGAAGTAGACGGCTTCGGTGGCTCGGGCAAATACTCCTGGCGGCACTACAATGAACCAAGTACTTTGAGGAATCCCCACCTGACCTGGTGCTTTCTTCAGGTTGTACTCAGCAGGGTAGGGCCATTGGTAGAACATTAGCGGGACTTTGGGTAAGAAAATAAGTCTACAGGTCAAAAGGGAAAGGAAAATCCTCAGATCAATCTTTAGGTCAAATGATCAATCTTTAGGTGGCACAGGTTTCGCCTCAATGTGCAGCTCCTGAAAGGCGGTACCTGAGAAGAGTCAAGAAACACTAGTAGGGAGGCCATCGCTAGTAGGTTGGAAGCAGGTTGCATGAAATATGTCTCGCACCTTGAGCGTTCGGCAAGGCCTCGCTCAGAAACACCAGCAGAAGTGCCTTTAGTCACTAACTGACACAATCCCACCTCTGATGCGTCGGGCTCCGTCTTGGCCGGCTCCATCTCCTCCTGACACAAATTGTGCGAGTGGATCTTAATCAGCGAAGTTTGAAGCTATCACTGACGATCCATAAGCGGCGTAGCGTCGGAACGGAAACCGCACCTTTTCTAGTCGCTTGATCCTTGAGCCAAAGTACATATGGTACATATATATGTACAAGTTGCACTGTACGTGTCGCTGCACTTCCATTCGCACCCCCCATGTGAACGGCAACAATATGTTCCGATCACACACGAAAATTTAGGGATGTAAGTGCTACAAAAGAAATTGTATGATTTGCCGCGAGACTCATATGAGGCTCATACTACGAAACATGCTGGACTAAAGCGGACTTTTACATATAAAGTGTGCAACTATGGCTCAGAACCTATGAAAATCGAATTGAACAAGTGAGACAGTCACGAGGCCTCGCTCAGCATCCACTCAAAAGAGCATCGCTTTGATGTAGATCCGAACTGGTGACTTCCACGTAGATGTCACATCGGCAACTGACTTCACACTTCTCAAAAGATGTAGGTTTTGGTTTGGATACACTTACAGAACGGCAAGTCGGAGAGACAGTCGGTGACTGTCTGCCTTCCATTATGCTCATGGTATCAAATCGGATTGATGATTTGCAATGATACACTTACAGCGTTTCAGGTCAGATAGACATCCGGTGAATGACTTCCTCCCTGGTTTGCATGGTATCCTCATAGTCGTTCAAAGAAATCACCACTGGCGATAACCTCTCCATCCACGATGATCCCAGCTGCCCTGAGCATCCCGCCGATCATCTTCTCCCTTCTTGGACTTTCCCTTGGACTTGCTCTTTCCCTTCCCCTTTTCAGAAGGTTGAGGTACTTCGCGACGTTCTTGCGTTAGCGCCGGCCTCCAAGATGTTCCAGATTGGCCTCCTCCTTTGGAATGTCCTCGGGATGATGAAGAAGTTGTACCTTCTGCTGCATGTGCGTTGGCGGCAAGATCTTCCTGCAAAGCTTGCTCAAACACATCGGTAGCACTGGATGGTGATTTATCATGTGGTCTGGCTTTTGGAGCAGCCTTCGCCTTGCTCTCCTCTGCTGATGAGGGCCCGAAACTCTTAGGTGCTGTTGAAGGTTTTGGCTCCTCACTTGGTGCTGACGACGGCTTGGCCTCGGTTCTGGGTGTAGATGCTGACTTTGCCTCAGCTCTTGACGAAGATGCTGCTTTCGCTTCAGACTTAGTCGTTGATGTTGACTTAGCTGTTGCCTTGGCTGCCTGCTTCTTCTTGCCCTGAATTTCCTTGGCCCTATCTCCAAAGCCTAGACGATCGGTAAGAGCTTGAACATGCTTCTGTTCTACCACGCTCATCCATCTCTCTGTATGTCCAATGTTGGGATTTCTGGCCATTGACTCTACGACATTCTGAGCGTGTGGGGGCAACCTGATCTCATGTTGATCAATGATCAGCAGAATAGACTTCTCCCATTTGCTCTTCATTCTCGAGTACATGATGTCCAGAGGATCGATCACCTTGTGGTTGGGTGATGTAACGTCGGTTCTAAAGTAAGAATATGTCCGACAACCATAAATCGCATGGATGCACTTCTGTACCAATTCAGTCATTGCGCTGGCTTTCTTCGCTTTCAACTCCTCAAGCTGGACGTCAGTCAAGTTGGTGGAGTATTCGAAGTTGCCATATTCCTTCTTGAAGGAGTACGGAGTGTGACCAAATGATAGGATCACGAGTGCCACCTTGCAAATGAATTGCTCTCCTCTGAATCGGTGCCAGGCCTCCTCAATCGTAATCTTGTTTTCGTTGGCAAAGATTCTCATCATGTCATCTGTTGGATCCAATGGTCTCCCATCGTCATCGATTTCAGTGAAATCCTCTGTACCGAACTTGCTTATCACATCCAGACGCTTCCTTTTCCAATTTGCTTTGAAGTCGGTAAGGCTGGTGCAATAGTAGCTCTTGTACATCAGGGAGATCATGTTCAGCACACATTTGACCACATACCTATCCATCAAACCCGATGCATTCATGGAGACGTCCTGACAGTAGGCTCTCTCTTGATGCGCATAGATTCGAGGTTCCGGTACTCGACAATAGATGGGGAGATCTTCGTTGTCTCTTCCTTCTTCGGGATTGAACTCGGTCGCTCCATGCTGTGCATAGTATCCCGGTTCATCACGATCTGTCGGTCGATTCGCCTCCGGATGTAAGTCGTCGGTGACGTCTTCATCCTCGGGCTCACCATCTTGACGTTTCTTCCCCTCATATTGTTGTGTGCTCCTCTGGATCTCGATGATCACGTTTCGTTCATCTTCATCTTCTAGATCAGAATCACGACCGTAGTCGATCTCGTCCTCATTGAAAGATGGGGTCTCGACATTGTCACTCTTGAAGTTTTCTGCACCATCAGACGGTTTGGAAGGATCTAGATTGTCCATGTCCTCGTCGTCGTCAGCTGCTTCAGTTTGAGCGATGTCTTCTTCCCAAGCCTTTCTGATCTCGTCCATAGTGGCCTGGTCCAAGATATCTTGATCATCATCTTCAGGCTCCTTCTCTTCCTTCTTTTCCTCTTCATCGTCGCTCACAAGATCAACGGGTGAATCGGAAATGACAGTGTTGCGAATACCACACGAGAGTAGCCTGCCTTGACAAGATAGACACACGGACAAAGATGAAGAAGTCAAATGCATACATGATGGACACAAAATATTGCCATCCACGTTGCGATACCCTTCACATGTTCTGGAGATGATTTCGTCCCAAGTTTCCTCACTGATGGAATCCTCGATCAGCTCTCCATTGTCATCGAATTGTACTTCATCGATAAGGGACACGAGCTTTTGGACGTTGTCATCTGTCGCCGAGGCTGACTTCGTGACTTCGTCGGCTCTCTCGAGGATGGTATGCTTCTGAGCAACCCAAAGTCCATGACGTGCCGCTAGAACAACTTGCTCTCCAGT